ATCAGCCATGATACTTGGGTTATCACTGGATCACCGAGTCCAGATCTGTCACTGCAGCGCTTGTAAAAAGCTGTGACTGCTTGAGAAATCAGTCAGCACCTGAAGAGACTCCATTCCCACAAGGTTATTCTGTTTTAATAACAACTTTGCTCCAGGAATTACCACAGAGTCTTTCAGTTTACAATTCCTAAATGGAGATTACGTAGCAAATACTGCACCCAGCTGAAGTGGCAAGCGACGGTGCAGAGCACGCAGGCCAAGGTGGAGCCTGGCCAGGTTCCCCACACTCATCCCTCTCACAACAACCTTTAAAAGAACAGAAGTTGCTGGGATACGAGACTCAGTTCATCTGAAAAGCAGCAATTTCCAGCCCGGACTCTGCCAGCAGCATTTATCCAGATGCAATGCCTGCCGGAAACAGCCGGTTTTCCCTGGGACGCTCACATCTAAATATCAGCCTGGCCCACAGAGACTCATATTTGACTTTCTGTCTTTCACCAGAAGCAGAAAAATTAGCATAGCAGAGCCCTGAAGCACAACTGAGCCATTAACTTGCCACAGACTCATTTGAATGGATGTAATGAACCCACGTCAGGTCTCAAATCCCTCTCACACTACGCAGTCCTGCAGACATTGTTTGGATGGTTTAGAGAACGGGCGTTATTATCTCTCAGACCCAGAACTGTTCAATACCTCCAGTCCTCCTCCCAGGCAAGAGCCACTGATGGCAGCAACTACTGGCTTTGGAGACTGCTCAATTTTTTCTAGCATCTTCTGTCCTTCCTGAGAGAGCTGAGTCACTTCCTGAGAAGTCTTGCAGGCTTCAATCATGCTGCGGTGAGGCAGAAAGGCTGATCAGAATTGGAAAAGCACTGAGAAAACAGCAGTTAAACAAGAGCACTTCAAGGAGTTTGTTCCCCTTTTCCCACATAGCTCCTGTGACTGACAGACAGGCAAGAGCTATTTAGTTCCCTGGTCTTAGATTAACAGACAACGCAGGAAGACTACTAAATTCAGTGGGTTAAGTCACTGCGTGCTGACACTGGGCTGCGCCTGCAGGCACTGAATGAGTTTCCTTGTGTCAGAGCTTTGAAAGCCTTTGGGGGAGAGGAGGAAGGGTCATAGGAAGCCTCAAAGCACTTGCCAGGAAGGGTGGAGGGGAGAGCCCGCGATCACTTTTTAGAGGAGCAGATGGCCGGTGCTCTGATGTTGCACTCCGCCAATTAGAGACTCCCTGTGCCAATTATTCTCACGGAGGCGAGTGGCGTTTGCCAGGCAGGCACAATTCAGGAGGCTCGTAGTGTTGAGACCAGTGGACACCTCTTAAACACAGCTTGTCCTTTCGCTCTGCTGACCAGCTCTAGCTACTGCCTCCTTCCCACCACAATGACACATCAAGTCTCTGCACCTGAACAAAGCCAGCCAAAAAGGTAATAAGGTTCTGAAGGGCCTATTTGCAATCCACCTTCTTTCCTCAGAGCTTTCTGGCTTTTAATGTCTTTAAACAATTCTTCTGTGCTGCCTGATGTCAGCACTAGGCACCAACGGCACTGCAGGTCCCACAGGTTGTCCCACACCCTGCAGAATTTACCCCCACCGAGTCACCCAGGAGGCTGCTCAGATGCTGCACGTGGCAGAGCGCCAAACCCTGCCTAATCAAGGGGCCACGCTGGCAGAGCGCCAGGCACTCAGACCCAGCTTAAATGAAGCCCTGCATGTAAATTATCTGCTCTTGCTGTGTCCCAGACCAAAGGACAATGCTCACCCCGGAGCCAGGAAGGGTTTCCTTGGCTGCACCCCAGCAGGCAGGAAGAAGTGACCGAGTGTTACAGCCAAACGGGGTGTAATGACTCGCCATGTTCCTCTTTATCAAGGTCCTAACTTTGTTTGAGCAAGTCGGGCAACCTGCACACATGGATTTCATGCCCAGCCTCTGCCTCACCCCCGGGGAGATGTCAGTGACAAACTGCTCAGACTTCACAGGGCACCAGACCGCTGGGCCTGGATGCTGGACTTCGGAGAAAGCTCCGTCAGCGCAATTTTAAGGCCCCCATACTTACTCGATATCTGCTCCAGCAATGAAAGAGCCTGGCTTTGAAGAGATGAGGACGGCACTTTTGACAGCTTCATTGGCCCAGATTTCATTCATTACTTCAGTAAACTCCGAGTTCAACTGTCTGGATAGGGTGTTCACCTGGAGGCAGCAAATAAGCATCGTAAATAGGGAGCACAGCAGGCCAGGAAGTTTAACCTCTAATTAAGTACTGGACTCAAACATCACATCATCAGAAAACTTGCACAGAAGACAGACTGACAACAAAAAAGCCAAAGCCAACAGTAGGTCTGAACAGATTTTCCAAGCCAGTAGGAACAGCAGCTCTACAGCCTTTTCAAGATTTGCCTTCTGAAAAGTACAGGACGAGACCATCCAGGAATTCACCCAACAGCCAGACCACTGCGTGGCACAACTGTAACACTGCTGGGGCGCTCAAACTGAGCCCAGATTTGCTATAAAAGTTCGCCTATCTTGTGTCATCATACAGCAAGAAAAAAAACCTCCAAGACGAAACCCTGCAGCAAGGTCATCAAGTTATTAAGAAGTTCCTCCTTAACCTCACCAACAGTGCATTTGTGACCTCAAACACAGATTTTATCAGCTCCTAAGGTGGGTTTTTTTTCTATATAACAGACACTCTCCTTAACTACCTTGAATCCGAGAACTTAGTAAGATTTAGTGGTATCTTGTGCCGGTGAGAGAGACAAGTTAGCTTAGTACATACAAAAATATTTCCACGAGGCATTTTCAGATGTCTCATTAAATGCCCAAGCGCTCGTTCTCCTATTCCTACTTTGCTCGCAACTTTGGAAGGCTGCAGGTTAGGAAAGTTCTTTGTCTTAAATTAGGCATTTTCAATGTCTTCTCCGTACAACTGCTATTCCTGACGCTTCCACCGATATGCCTACTAACCTCGGCCAGCTAAAACAGTACCTTGGAATTTGGCGTGTTGAAGCGTACAACAGCGACATCTCCTTTGATATCATAGCTAACGTGGGTTCTGCCTGGAAAGAAGCAGAAACACGTTATCAGCTTGTGCTCAGTGGCTTTGCAGACATAAAATGGATTTGCATGGAAAAGGTTTACACTTACTCTGAAGAGCAGTGGAGGTGGAGATGTTACGGCAAGCATAACCTAAAGAAAAGACGTTGCAGGTGTTAAAGGAATTCTCAGTAGTCTCAGCTTAACTCTCCTTTATTAGCGCATCCTCCCGCCTCCCCTCATCTGCCAAGTACAGCGTTTCCCCGAGCATGAGCCAGCTCCTTCCCTTACGGCTCGACCTGTGCCACCACCAGAGTCCAGCAGACTCCGCGCTATTGAAGTGACCTTCACAGCACAGATTCCACACCGCAGCTTCCAACACCAGCAATGCCAAACCGAGGGCAAAAATAAAACCAACCCCCAAAACCCGAAGCCTTCTTCCCAAAGAGCTGACAAGAGATGAAGCAAGCGGCACACAGGGGTGTTTTGCCTTCAGTGTGCACAGTTCAACACTTCTTCCCACGCTAAACCAGAGCCCCTGCCGCACTTTAGGGAGTTTCAAGCCTGCAAGTTAATGTCTCTGCAAATCAAATGTACCTGCCCTAAAATATTTCTGAAAAAAAAAAAAAAAAAAAAAAAAAAAAAGAAGTCTTGGGGGACGGGAAGACGCCCTTTTCAAAAAAATTTCTTAAAAAAAAAAAAAAAAAAAAAAGAAAAGAGAGTCTTGTGGCAGCGAACAGTGCCACCCCAAGTATTACTCCACAGATCTCAGGGTATCCGGTGAGCCACAAAAAGAGCACACAGAATACATATTCTTGCCTCCATCTGTCAACAAAATACTTGATCCACCTCTACTGGTTACATATGGAAGCAGCCAGACAAACTTGCCGTGTTTCAAAGCGCTTGGAAAACTCAGACCATGGTACGAACAAGTTCTGTCCGCCAGTGAAATGCCACTTTTCTGACTCGTAAATCCCAGATCTCCTTTTTCTGCTGAGAAATTCTATGATCTCCCTACACCAACGAATCTCAGCTCTATGCAAGCAGCCTTGACCTTGACCGAAAGGATCCTCTAACTAACGCAGATCTAGGCTGAATCACTGCCAAAGCTGCTTTAAGTCTGAAATCTAGTAAAAGCGTTCCTTCTTAAGCGCGATACGCACATCTACCGATGGGAACACAGCCATTTAGCTAGGGGAGGTGTTACCCCTCAACACTGGTAAAGCGTTCAGGAACGAAATGTTCCCATTCCCAGCAGAAGGAAGGCAGAAAATCCCATACAGGGAGGGCAAACTCAAAGCCTCAGCCTGCACCTCACCGCAGGTGCCTCCCCCTGCCCCGCAGCCCCATGACGGGGGCTGGGGGCCGGAGTTCTGCTGCACTTTGTCCCTCTTTCCACTTTGTCTCGGGCGCTGGCAGCGGGGCCTGACCTTTGCACTCCATTCCCCGAGCCCGGGACACGCGGTGCGACGCTGCGGGGATGGAAATTCAGTGTCAGTCTGTCCCGGCAGAAGGGTTCGCGTGTGCGTGTCATGTGCCCACAACACCATTTTATAAACAAGGAGTGAACTGGTTTCCACCCCAAAGCTACTTTAAAGCGTTTTTCAGCCAGGACAATGCCCAGATTGCGATTGCCGTAGCCAACACTGATTTCCCTGAGCTTTTTGTGCGCTCAGTCAGGTACTCCTGACACTAAACGCCAGTGCTCACTTCCCACAAAAGGGAGCATGGTCTGACAGCGATTTCTCTGCCGACAGATGCCCCTCAGGAGCACACGATGCACTTTTAAAGGCAGTATTTTAACTCGGTATAAGCCACACAGCCCCACTACTTTAAATAGAAGGCAAGGACTGAACTACCTTCCTAAATGAATTCCCCTCAATCCTCACGGCCAGGCAGAGCAGGAGGGAGAATCAGACCAAACAAATCTCAGCGGCAAGGCAAGCGACGACGTTTGTCCTTCCGCCCACCGCTAAGGCTGGGATGCGGGAAGGTAAGCAGCGCATCACGCTCCAACGCTGACCGAGAGCAAAGCAGTGACTACGTATGAAAAACTACATCACATGCAAAGCACAGGATCTCAATTAAAACTAGAAAGTGAATGGACTAATTAAGTTTTTTCTCCTTCTATGGTCTAACGTGCTTTCCTCTTTCGTATCAGTTTCTAAACAGACCGCTTCCATGAAAATTCCTTGAATTCCACTTTGTCTTTTGGTTCTAGCAAGACAAAAGATATGAAGTAGGGAAAAAATATCAAGGGCACGACTGAACAAATCTCACTACACTTTAATATAAACTCTTTTGGGAAAGATACTGTCATGAGAGTAACAGCTGCTTAACATTTGAGTGCTGTTTCTTTAGCCTGACAGTATTTTATCTTAGAGCCCTTGTGGAAAACACATCTAAAACCAAAAGCACATTTACTTGGTCACAGTCACAGCACATCTGCTTCAGGCGTTGATTCATTCAGCGGTACAATGGTAACTTGCCAAGATGGGAGCCAGAAAAATCCTCCTTCAAAATGCTGAGGGAAGCAGCAGCAGGCCAGATGTACGCTTCCACCATTTCATTAACATTCACTCTAGAATTAATAGCCTTGAATACCGATTCCATTTTCACTATTTCACTCACTCCAACTGAAAGACTGTCTAGAGATGGGGACGCCAACATTTCAGACCGTTGCTCTCAGGACTTCACTGAGAACTTGGATGCAGCAGAGCACGGAGAACGCCCCTCTCACACAGTCTAGCCAGGACCTGCTTCTTCCCACTTTCTCTTTTCTCTATTATTTCCTTGGCTGCTTCCCTGTCCAGCACTTCCCCTTCCCGCCCTTCCACTCACCCGGACGCGGCATGCCACTTGAAATGGGAGCAGCATCCATGGATAGTTCAGGAGAAAAGCCTTCCTGCAGTCCTGGACCAAGCCAAGCACCAGCAGAGCAAACCAGCTGAAGCTCAGGACAACGACCACCCACACTTTCAGCCCGTACCTGCGAGCCGACAGCACGGAGCGCTGAACTGCGAGCTACAGGATGGGAAACTTGACAAACTGAGCTTTTCCCTCTGGGAACCTGCTAGCTCACAGCATGTGGTGCAGCAGGTACAGCCAGCTCTCAAGCTCACACTGTCTTCTGCCTGCTTGCTGCCTCCTGCACGCTTTTTGGCCTGCCCTGGAGAGCTCTGCATCCAATTTAACAAACGTTTGGTTAGGGCAGAACAAGGCTATTAATTATGGTGAGCGACCGCGTCCTCACAGCAGCTCCAGGACTGTCTGGGATGAAGAATATTGCCAGTTATAACAAGAAGTCCAACCAATGACAGCCTGAGCACTCGCTGGAGTTACCACTCGTTATCAGTCGCAGCACCCTGCTCCTGGAGCAACCGGCTCACGTACGTGCAGTGTGGGAGCGCGTTTGTAAGACTGGTATTAGGTTTAAATGAAACGCTGCTAGGCTGCAGCTCGACATCAATACCAGACCCTGAGGCCCTTCAAAGTGCAGCAATAAGAACCGGTTTCCAGTGCCTCTGAGCCTTGTCCTTTGGCCTTCCTAGGGGCACCTGGTGACTCCTCGTTTTGGGAACTCTGTGAGGAAGGACCATGGCCCGGCTCACCACAGGCTCTGCAAACAAGCAGGAGCGCGCCCAGGCCCTGCCCGTGTCAGCAGATCGCGAGGGAGTTAATCAACGGCTGAAGATGTGCTTGCATACCGAAATACAGACAGAGCGTGGGCACCTGGGGACGCAAACACGCCTGGGGGCATTCTCCCCACCCACCCGGGGACACCCCCATCCCACAGACACACCTGCATGCCTGGAGGACAGCCCCAGGATCCAGACATACAAGGACATGGGGACACCCCCCGCAGGCATGCACAGGCGGGCATGGGGACACATGCACACGGGGAAGGACACAAGGACACCCTCACCCTGTGGATCAGCTCACATGC